CGAAACAGAAGGAGGCTCTTCATCAGACCATTCTGTGAGCAATAGGATGGGGGAAGCCGGTGGTCTGGTTAGGTTTCTGAGCAGTATATTAATACACTCGAGTGGCCAAGAGGATGCTGAGCGAAATCGAGGCCGATTATGCAGAACGATCGATTAAGCGGCAAAGGTCGTATGAGGGAGAAACTTCCCTTGGTAAAAGATTTGGGAAGATGGTACCATCTCCCGCAAAGAATGGAGGAGAGTGGCGGCAGCTATCTCCTCAGTCTTCCTGAAGGTGGTCAGAGGAAACCCTGGGCACCACAAATGTGAGACTGTCGGATGGCACCATGGGCTTCATAAGCTCATTAGATGTGACGATGAAAGATCGACTCTTCTATATAAGCAGGAAGTCTCTTAGGCATGGAAGGGAGCCAGATTGGACGCTCTGTACAAAGTGGATCTTCCACTTCGCCCTAGGATTTGCGTCTGACTGCCAGCTGAGTCTTATTCTGCGAAAGAGATTGAGGAAATCCTCAGATACTGTAACCCTCACTAGCCACGCTTGACTGGAAGGTAATAAGGCTTTAGAGAATCGAGGAACCATATAAGCAAGCGCTGATTCTGCTAAATGTGGAGTCCGTCGGTTCTCTCAGCAAGAGCAAAGGAGCTGTAAGCTATGGGTTCGAAAGGGTAGTTAATAGGGTACTCCCGACGGATGTCAAAGCTGATGGTGCTCAAGCTGCAGATGCGATGAGTACAAACGGCGGGAATGGTGAGGGTTAAACGACCTCAGTCTCTCGGACGAAGTGCGTTCTGGTAACGGTTCGTTACTCCGACATGGGCGCTGAACTAGCGCTTCTGGAGGAAAGTCTGAAGAACAAGATTCCGATTTGCAGTTATCCGATTAAATTTTAATTTGCTCTGACTATTAATATGTCTTAGGGAAAAATAATTTCTCTGTTGATTTTCAAGACAGTATTTTCAACATAATTGAAAGCAATCAGTATGATATGATAATCTCATTGCGGATTTGTGTACAATTTTCGAATGCTTGAAAATGTTATTTCACCAAAATTTAAAAGGATATTGTTAGTTATAACAGTAAAGTTATAATATAGAGATTCAGATAAAAATATTGGGAAGAACTAAGATTTGGAAGTCGTGAAATCTGTTAATAATCTAATGGTGAATTAATGAAACCAAAATTGTAAGATTCCACATGAGAGACTAAATGAGCACAGATATTCGAATCTTGGTGTTACGAAAGCCAGGTTAAACGAGAACTTTATAGATCGATGGTTGATTAGCTTGACAGTGATTTATGAAAATATACAAATTAGATATTTGAACATTTTTAAGATATCGTCACACTCCTCAAGCAAATTTAATTAGTTGCAGTCAAAGCAATTAGTAGTATGTAAACTTCGGAGCCATTATTGGCTGTTATTTGATGTTCAACAGCTACTTGTAATGCATTTAAGCACTTTTCGAAAGCACTTACGTACTTAAATCGCATATAAACTGGAAGGAAAATATGATATTGTACCTTTAAGCACTTTGAAGCCAATTTATTTATTCGACTCGCAAGTGCGCTTGACTTGGCCACTAATTTTTAGCCAATTTGTTGTCCATTTATTGTTCAGCTTATTGCCAAATATAAATGTGCATGGATTTTCTGCCTATTATAACCGTAACATAAACAAGATGGCCCAGACGATGACGCTACTTAATTTGGTCTATTGGCCGTGTTGTAGCTGCTGTTGCCGACACATTTTTAGTACTTGGAAAATCAAAAAGGAAAATATCAAGTATTTTTGTTATGTTCAACACGCGTAAGTTCTATTCCCTTCTCATTGTTTCTGCTCCAGCTCCGGCTCCGGCGCTCATTGCAACAATGTCAGCCAGACTTTTGCACAGATTTGCGAGCAGACCTTTTGTGTATGCTTTGAGCCGGCGTAAATATTCAAGGCCAGCCAGCATCGCACTTGACATGACACGCGGCTAAGGACAAAGTCAACATTAACAATAGCCAGGGCGCTTGATATTTGGTGCAAGCACCAACTCATCCCAAGTCAATATGTCTACGGAGATTATATGCAGTGCAAAATGGAAAAATGTTGGCATAAGGCAGCGGCGATTCAAAGGATGAAAAACGGCACAAAAGAAGTAAAATATTTTTAACAATTTTTTTAAGCTCTTTGCCGTATAATTTTTCTAGTAGCAAACCGATTTAGTTGCTAATCGCTGTCACATTTGCTGACCGGCAGTTAATTCATTCATCTGCAACGGCAGCAGCCAGCAGTGGTTAATTAAAAAATATAAATTTTTACTATCGCTGGCGCATTTCAGAAAATTTCATAACAGCGGTATAATGTGTATGTATGTGTGTGTGCATATAACGCATAGTACAGCATTTGTCTGTAAGATATTGAGCCACTATATACATAATATATTGGCTGATCTAATGAATTAGTTATTGCTAGAAGAAGCATTTATAAGCGAAATATATCCATTTATGCTAATAAACTATGCAAGAAATATAAAAAATACAGCTGTTGTAGTCTTATCAAGGCGACATTGCGTACTCCTTGCCAGCCTCAACGGCATAATTTAAACTTAAATCAGTTCGAATGAGTTTCGGCGGTTTTAATCTGTGTTTTCAACCGCATGCTCCACTTTGCCACTTTGTCCCTCCAGTTCGATACCCTGGTGACCTGCCAGTGGAATGCACAATGAAGCAAGTACACAAATTTATGTCTTTAATTAAAAGTATAGGAAGTGCGGGTTAACTGAAAGACTTCGAAGGCTGCTGGCGAGCTGATAGTTCTGCGTCGAATATGAATTTCAACCCTTTTGCAGTTTCATAGTCAAAATAAGCATGGGAAGGCACAGATATTGTTTGTTGCCTCTTCTTTGTTGAAAGCATTCTATTAAAAATGGTTTTAGTTGGAAGCATGAACAACTGTAAAACTATTGCTTCATTATATACACCAGGAATATTAATTTTTAAACTAAAAATATAAATTTTTAAACTAGGCAATCGATTGTATTAACTATTCTCACAAATAAGCTCATACGTCCGAAATTATTTGCCGGATCAACTTTAAGTTCTTGGCGAATATTCACAAATACATGTATGTACATTAAAAATTAAAAAAAACGATATCCTTGAAATTCTCAAGTGCATATAACCCTTTAAGCTCAAATTATTTTCACCTGCGCTTACTTTTTTGAACTTCTTTATTGGACTGCTCTTACATAAAGTCGGTATCTTAATATTTAATAAGCACTTAAAGATGCTTTGCTGTCTTCGGAAATATTCGTTTTGAGTACACAGTCAAGGCTTTCCACAACTTATCTTATATTTGAATTTATTGTCTTCAGGGCAATAATTGATTAGTGATTCATCTATCAGTGGCCAAAAGTATTCAATTCGATTTAAAAAAATAAACAAAATTAAAGAAAGAATTATTTTTTACACAAAATATAGAGAATATAAAAGAATATACTTATAAAAATAAATAACATTTTAAGCCAGTTCAGATTATTTAGTCTACTTTGTGTATCCAATGTTCTGCTATTTTGTCCGGAAGTTGTTGACACGTAGATCAAGAAGCTATAAACACCCGTCTTGCTTTTGAACTACTGACAAAGTTTGTATCATTTTCAATAAATAAGTCCATAATTTCAGTTATAGTGGTCAAACTGCTTTGCAAAATCGCCATTGAACGCTCCTTTACTTTGCTTGGAAATCACTACTGTCTGCAGTTTGGTCCTCTTCTCACTCCGGTAATTGCTTAAGCTTATCATTAGAAAGACTAGCTGCCATTTAGCTCATATAAACCGGCACATCGATGTCGACAGTGTCCAATGTACTCGCTCTTACTTAAACCTGGCCATTTCTACTGCCATAGTCTTTTCAAAGATCATTCTGTTATTTATATGTAAATTTTTCCACAAGGAATAAATCTCAAAATTGGATATAACGCCTTCGTCCATTCGTTGGATTTATGTAATGTATGTAAGCATCTGCATTCGGATGCACAATTTCTTTGAATCTCGAATTGAAGCGTTAAACCGAAGCAGTGCTAAGCGGGATTTTACTGTACTAAAATTTTAAAGCAGTTTCTTAAATAGTTTTTGAGTTGCATCCTACTAAAGAGTGACCACATGAGTTTAATCAGCTCAAGCACGTTATTGTTAAACTCTCAAAACTACGTTTTTTAAACTTGCTTGAGTGATTGCTCATAAACTAATGATCCACTGTCAAAATTTTCCGCATGTTCTCTATAGTTCACTATACAATTTCTTCACAGTTTTTGATGTGACCAAAACTCGAATTTTTCAAGCTGAAAACGAGCAAATTTTCCAGTAAAGTCACACAAAGTCTTTGTGAATTTTTTTATTTATTTTTGTCCTTAAATCATTGTACGAACAATATCTTCAAGCAGCGTTTTTTTTAGATTTCCTTCTTCACTGCAGTAGTGAACGACCTTTCTTGTTGCGCAATATTGTAGCACAATATTTATTTTTTTTTTTTAAATATTATAAATAAACTTCCTTTGAAATTTGAAACGATTTTTACATCACTTTTTTTTAATTAATAAAAATCGCCATATTTAGATTGTCAAAATAGTTGTCCTTTTTCAACCATGTAAGCATGTTCATTTCAACTAATCAACTGATTTTCAGCATCCAGGCTCACTGTGCAACGCTTTCCATAGCCGTAAATGATGCTGCCCACAATCCAAGTTTTAATTTAAATAGATTAAAATTTCTGTCGTCGCTTGTCAATGGTTCAATTATGGTATTGTGCGTTTCGTGGCGTGGAGCAAAAGATAAATTATTTTCTTGTCGTTAAGGGTGTTTAAATAAATTGTGGTTTGGGTGAAGACTTCGTTTGAATATGCTAATTTTGATCAATATACGTTGTATTTAATGTTTGTACTATTTTTAGAAAGAGGTTTATTTCTTTCAACTTAAATGCTTGTAAATAAACAATATTTATTATTTTATTTCAGATTTATGATGCCAAGGCTACAGTAATTTCAGGTAAGGATTATAGCATATGCTTTGAGTATTGAAGCATGTATAATATTATTTGAAATACATTTTTCCGTTGAATTATTAATACAGTTTATATTTTAGCTAGTTTTTTTTTTTAATTCTTTTATTTTCGGTCCGAATGTATGCGGAAGTAAAGAAAATTAATTATGTTTAACTCCAAAAGAAAATTATTATATTTTAATGTGCATACATAGTAAGACTTATTTCGTTTTTTTTAAAGTTCTTAGTTTATTCTACAAAATCTAATTCGTCCCCTTCAAAGTAATCGCACTTGCCCCCAATATACTAGCGCGAACGTTGTTTCCAATCCTCGAAACAGTTGTTAAAGTCAGTTTTCGGAATAGCTTTCAATGCGCCTAGCGATTCACGTTAATGAGTTAAATTGACTCAAAGCGGTTTCCTTGGAACGCTTATTTGAATTTTCTGAATAGCCAGAAGTCACATGGAGCTAAGTTGGGCGAATACGAAGATTGCGGAAGTTTGGCGACAAATTGAGGAAGAATCAATGCAGTATGCGGTGCATTATTGTGGTTTAAAAACCACGGTCGGTTTATAATTCCGAATTCGTTTTACGAATAGTTTCACGCAGACGACGCATAACACTCAAATAGTATTTTTTGTTCTCAGTTTGGCCAATCGAAAGGAACTCGGGGTGCACTAAGCTGGCAACATAACCTTGAGTTTTGATCTGCACTGACATGGTTTTTTCGGCTTCGACTCACATTTGCCACGATATTCGGCCATTGATCCTATGTTTCTGGGTCATAAGCGTAGGTTCAAGAGTCTTTGCCAGTAGTAATTTGTAGTCAACGCGTTCTCAACTCTCTTTGAATAATTTATATCAAAAAGTCTTTGGAAAATAGAATGGAGCTGGAGAGAAATCAATCGCATTATAGTTCGTTTAAATGTATGTATATTCGAAGTAATTTTCACCTTTTGTATACTAGTTTTTGTAAAATATAGAAACTTTGTTAGTTGTAGTTGACGGTGAGAAAACTTTGAGTTTAATAATAACTTTTTCAAGTCCATTATCTTAAAAATTCTTGAAAAAAACTATTTAAAAAAAATATTGGAAAAGGATTTGCACGTTTGGATTGATAATATTAGTATCACGAGTTGTTTCTAAAGCTTTAGATTAGAAGAAAAAAAGTTATATTTAGTAGCTCTCTTGTCTTTAGCTAGCTTATCAAGATTAAGATGAACCTTCAAGGCGATATCAAAGGTTACTATAAACCAAACGATTTCTTCATAATACAATGTCAGATGAATGCCAGACCTTTTTGAAACCTTTTTATTTTTTAATTATAAAGCTAACTACCCTGTCTTTTTAATTGAGAGAGAAAGAGAAGATTAAAAGTTAAGCATTGCAAATATGGTCATTGTAATTTTGGTCATTGCTTAACCTTTACAAAATATCACGTTTAAGTAAAACAATATTTAAAATAAAAGGCTTTACTATTTAAAGTGTTTAAATATACAGGGTCTGGCGAAGTGTAATAAACTATAAAAATCGGTTTGGAAATTATTATTTTTTTATTTTAAAGTACAAAATGTCTGAAAATAATCATAAATGTAGGACCAATTCACTTTTGCTCGATATGGCCACCTTTTGCCTTACCTATGGCCCTGTCAAAAAACGAATCGCAAGCTGCCCGTATCTGACTAGCCGGTATTTTGGCCCACTCACGGACAATTACTTTCTTCAGCATCTCGAGACCCATTGTGTGGTCGTAATGAAGTTCGGAACGTTGTTTTTCAGCCATTCTTGGTTCACTCGCGCTGTGTGAGACGGTACTGAGTCTTGTTAAAACGTCCATGGTTTGCGAAGTTTGTTTGTCCATGTTGCCCATAATATGTTGCATTTACTTTGACGCCAGGCTCGGTCTGCGGTGCCAGCGGCCCAAACCATTATTTGTGGCGGGTGCTGCCTCCTGGTGGCCAATATGCATCGGATGCTGCCGTCGGATATTTTCAGTTTTTTAGCCATTTGAGTGACACTTCGTCGTGGCTTTCGCTCAAGTCGTTTCTTCACTTTCCAATCCATCTCATTTGACGTTGCAGTCTTTAGATGACCACCTCCATCTCGTTTTGCAATGATACCAGTATCATTGTAACGAGTGATGGTGCGAGAAACAAAAACTTGATTCACTTTATGGTGTTTCAGCTCACGAACAATTGCTGGCTGTGATTTTCCAGCCAAATATAATGCAATCACACTATTTCGTTTGAATTCCATCGCTGATCACTTTTTTTGCGTTCACTTTTGGCAAAACGCTTTTGTACACTTGTGAACAATACTCCGAACTGTCATTCAGCAAATTATAAACAGCTGATTCCAGTGCGACCCTGCCTAATTGCTTACTTTCAAGAATTGTGAATTCATTGACGAATGATTATCATATATCTAGCCACGCAGTGATCAAACCGTCGGAGCATCATTCACTGTAATTTCTTCTTATCAAAGTATATAATGAGTTTGATGAATGCCAAGTTAACTTGAAAGTAATGACCAATTTTTAATAGACTTAAAGCTGGCAATGAGATTTATTGAGCATTACGGTAATTTGTAAACAAATGTGTATGCATTATGGCCACCGGCATATTATGAGGGAATTTCCTCACTTAAGTGCCAAACATGCACGCCAGCGGGGGAGCCATTTGTCTGCCACATGTGGAGATGGCTTAATTGGTCGGCCAGTCGTTGGGAGGCAGTGGTCGCTGGCGAAAAATTCATCAATCTGTCGCAACGCCATAAATCGATTCGCAAGTGCGCAAGTATTCCTCGGAGTGAACACATGGCGTACGTGAAAATGCCTCTTAAGCACTATATCTGTACCGATGTACATCGTATGTATGTACGTGTGGCGGCGCAAAGGTAAATATTTCTATTTAGCTCAAAGTGTGAGCAGGAGCGGAACAAGCCGCAGATTTCGTTTCGAATAAATTCTTCGCAATTCAATGAGCATTTCCAGGTGTTTGCGAGCGCATTGCTGAATTATAGCAATTGCGAATGTGGCTGTTAATAAAAACAACAACGAATAGACCAACAGCGTGCATAATTAAATGCTTCGTTAATTACGCCATCACAGCTATTAGCCACTTAATTGGTTCAACGCGTAAGCGCAATTTGTGGCAAATGTACTATGGTATATACACACCCGACGCATACATGCACATATGCGCGCATTCACACTCCCACACAATATCCGCTTATGGGCTTGTGTGTGTACGCTATGTGAGCAATGTGTGTTTATAATCGTATTTTATAGTTGAAAATTGAAATATTTTCTTTTTAATGAATCGAAAACTGAGTGAATGTTTGTGCTGCTGGAGCAACAATCAAGCATTTGCAATTTGGAAAATTGCTTAAATCAAAAATGAAACGATTTATTCGCACTTTTTCGTGCAATGATTTACATTTTGTGGACGTCAGCAATTAGACTTGTTGTTTTGGCATTTTAAGTGGAGCAAATTAATGCTCAATGGCAGGCGGCATTAAATAAAGCATTTCAATATAGCAAATAAGCACGAATGAATGCAAACGTCGGTAAGCATATGGTATGCTTAAGTATCCATGTGTTTATAAGTGTTCAAGTTTAATGTTTACCAAGCAGCGCGAGGCCCTCACGCATGTAAAAAGTATATAAATATATATATGACAGGGTGTCCAAAATTCATCACGATACTCTCTAATTCTGCTTTGATTTAGGGTACAATCTACTAAAGATTGTTTTTAGAACTGATAAAAGCATAATGTTTTCAGAACTTATTATGTATGACCCGATAGACCTTGTCCTGTGGACACGTCTTTAATCCGAAAATTTCAAACTCTTTTCAATAAATTGTAACAATCTGGACTGTTTTCAAGAAAATTATTATCAAATCATGAAGCTAAAACCTTTTTTCACACCAGCGATCGTCATACCGTTGCCAAGTTAAGTCACTTTGGCTCCCAGCAACTCACTTACAACAAACTCAGTGTTTTTAAGGACAATACTAAAAATGATCCCAGCCTGTAAGCTAACATGCGCCATCGCCGTCTGACTAGCGGTGGCTCGACGAAAATAACGGTGCACTGAGTTATTGCGCGATTTGTAGATATGTACATGCACTTGCCGTCAATAGGTTAAATGCAACCGTACTTGGAAAAATTGGACCAAGTTGTGAATCTAAGCCATTCCCGAATCTCCTTAAATACACACAAAAAATTTCATCAAAATCGGTCCACTCGTTTATGAGAGGAGTTTAGTGACATATACACGCACTCAAGAAATATATAAAAGATGTTTCGGGGCTTAAAATTCAGTTATGAGCTTTTTTGACTATGTTAACAATGAGCTGGTGCAGTTACGAGAGCTGTATTAATGTAGATTAGAAGTAATCCAAGATGGTTAAGCAATTTTAAGAAGTCAAGCGGGAAAAAATCCCTATCTGGCCATATATACTTGCATATACAGAATTGATTTTAATGGCTTGAAGTTATATCTTTTATATAAATTATAAAAAAAGTATGATACAAAATTAGTCGCATGTTTATCATTATTTGGTTAAAATTGGTTTATTTTACTATATTTATACTATATTGGTTAGTCGAAAAGTCTTTTCGTACTTTGGCAATAGTTTTCGTTGCAGTCGTATATCTCCAGTGATACCAAACACATTGTACTCGTATTATACCATATAGTGTTGGAAAGAATTTAAGCTTCATTTAATTAAAAAAAAATTAAATTCGGGAAGTTGAAAAAAGTTATAGCTGTTCAAAAATGAGTGCAAATCATGCAGAATCATGCATAAAAACTGGAAAAAATGCCACGCAAGCGAAGACGATGCTGTATCAGTATAGCACAACAATGGTTCGCTCGCTTTCGTCCTGGAAATTTTGATTTACACTGATGGAATTGTGTCTTTAGCGGAAAAAATGGCAAATATATAAATACATATTTATTTACTTATTTGTTATCATAAATCTATAAAAAAAAAATAGG